TAGGGAAAACACTTGAAGAAATCGGTTTGGGTGAAAACTTTATGAAGAGGACCCCTTGGGCAATTGAAGCAATGTCAAAAATACACTTTTGGGACCTGATCAAACTAAAAAGTTTCTGCACAGCCAAGAACACAGTAAATAAAGCGGGTAGACAGTCCTCAGAATGGGAGAAGATTTTGCTGGTTATGTCTCCGACAAAGGTTTAATAACCAGAATCCACAGAGAACTCAAACGTATTAGCAAGAAAAAAACAAGCAATCCCATCTCAGGATGGGCAAGGGACTTGAATAGAAATTTCTCTAAAGAAGATAGGTGCATGGCCTACAGACATATGAAAAAATGCTCTCCATCCTTAATCATCAGAGAAATGCAAATCAAAACTACTTTGAGGTACCACCTAACCCCAGTAAGATTAGACCATATCACAAAATCCCAAAACCAGAGATGTTGGTATAGATGTAGAGAAAAGGGAACACTTCTACACTGCTGGTGGGAATGTAAATTAATTCGTTCCTTTTGGAAAGACATCTGGAGAACACTGAGAGAACTAAAAATAAACCTGCCTTTTGATCCTGCAATTCCTTTATTAGGTATATATCCAGAAGACCAAAAATCGAATTACAACAAAGATATTTGTATCAGAATGTTTATTGCAGCCCAATTCCTAATTGCTAGGTCATGGAAGAAGCCTAAATGCCCATTGACCCACGAATGGATCAATAAATTGTGGTATATGTACACCATGGAATACTATGCAGCCATAAAGAAAGATGGAGACTTTACCTTCTTCATGTTTATATGGGTGGAATTAGAAAATGTTCTTCTCAGTAAAGTATCTCAATAATGGAAGAAAAAGTATCCAATATACACAGCCCTATTTTGAAACTAATTCATAGCTTTTATAGGAATGTCATAACCTAATTGTAGCCTTAGAATATGGGAAGGGGAAGGGATAGGGGAAGTGAGGGGGGTGGATGGGGGGAGGGAGGGTGATTGGTGGGGTCACCTCTATGGTTTATCTTACAAGGGTACAAGTGAATCTTTCTAAAAGCAGAGTATGAATGTCTTAACTTAATGACTAAGAGAACGACATGAAAGTTATATTAACCAGTTTGATGAGAGTATTTCAAAATGTATATGAAAACAGCACACTGTACCCCATGATTGCATTAATGTACATAGTTACACTATAAGAAATAAAAAAAATAAAATAATCCACAAAAAAAAAGAAAAAAAAATCTTAGCAAACTAGGAATAGAAAGGATTTATTTTTAATCTGATTAGGTACACCTATGAAAAATCTATATCCAAAATCACACTTATGGAATACTGTGTACCCCTCCTCACACCTGAATGAGTGGGCCACACAGGGAGAGGGCCAGCATTATAGGGTCCTGCAGCTTGGTCTGACCTTCCACCTCTTGCTACCCATTGCAGTTGTCGGAGATCGTCTTTGTAGGCATCTACAGTGCTGAGTTTTACCTGAAACTCTATGTAGACCCCATCGACTACTGGAAGAATGGCTACAACTTGTTGGACATGTTCATTATTATTATTCTGTCCATCCCCTATGCCATCCGCAAGATCGAGGGCCCACACCACCCCTACCTGCACTTTGCTGATGGCATACAGTCCCTGCGCATCCTCAAGCTTATCCCTTATAGCCGGGGCATCCGGGTGAGTACCTTGGGGTGTCATGGCATTGGGAGGGCAGGCTAGGATCCATCTGCCCACCAGCCCCTGAGGAAATAATAATTTGATTACTACTTTCCAGTTATTGAGTGCTACTGTGGGGCAGCTTGATTTACCAAATTTTCTCATTTAATCTTAAAACAATTGTAAGAAAAGTATTATTAGCTCCATTTTACAGATGAAGAAATTGAGGCCCAGGCTAGGCGTGGTGGCTGATGCCTGTAATCGCAGCACTTGTGAGGTCCAAGAGGGTGGATTGCCTGAGCTCACAGGTTCAAGATCAGCCTGAGCAAGTTCGAGACCCTGTCTATAAAAATAGCCAGGAGCTATGTCGGGCGCCTATAGGTCCAGCTACTTGGGACGCTGAGGCAAGGGGCTTACTTAAGCCCAATAGTTTGAGGTTGCTTTGTGGCATCTCAGCACTCTGCTGAGGGAGACAAAGTGAAACTCTGTCTCAAAAAAAAAAAAAAAAGAAATTGAAGCCCAAGGTCACCTAGCAGTTAAATTTGAGAGCTGAGATTTGAAAGGTGTGTCTGATTCCAGAGACCATCTGAAATTTTCCCCTTTCCCATGCTACAAAGTGACAGGTTTTCTTCAGCTCCAGATCCTTTGAACCACATGCCCAGGAGTCTCTAGCTTTTTGGTGGCCTCAGCCACTAGAGTTGCCTTCCCCAAACAGCTAAAAATCTGCTGCTTCTCTTGATGGGAATTATTTTGTTAAGGCAGTTCTAGAAGTGTTGTTTTTGCTGAGAAGTCTTTCTGGGTTACTAAGAGTGGTGGAATGACCAGCCTTTCCTTGACTCAAAAGTTTTCAGAACAAACCTCAGGCCTGAGTCCTCGCTCTCAACTGTGCCCTCAGGCTTCAGCCTACAGGCAGTATGTTTGTCCCAACTCTGCACCTAGTATCCATGCTTCTCCAGCAACGGACTGGTCTGGACCTATTTGTCCAGTCAGGATATGTCAGCCTATTGTGCTGAGAAACTGCCCCTAGCCTGGCTGTCTAGGCCCTGAGCCCTGTACTCAGCAAGTCCAGTGCTGGATAGAGAAGAGAAAGGGAATATCAGAGAGCTCCCCATGCCACACATATTCATTCATTTCTTGCTCTCATGTAATCACATGTCTCTGTGTCTGTGTGTGTGCATGCGTGTATGTGTGCCCCCTCCCAAATAATATAGCCCAGCTCTCCCTCTCCTTTTCTTCATGGCAAGCTTCTGGAAAAAGATGTCTGTACTTCTAGTGTCCACTTCCTTGTCCATTACTTATACCCTGGCTTCTTTCTCTCCACTACAGCTTAGCCTCCCTGAGGTTGCCAACAACCTTGTCACCAAATCCAGTGGCCATTTCCCTGGGCATCCTTGCCCCTGGTATTTCTCTAGCCTGACTTCTCGGGTACATTTTTTCTTTGCCTGACCCATAAATGTTGTTTTCTCCTGAGTTTTCCTCCTCTTCTCCCTCTGCTTAATCTCTCTGGGTGAGTTTTTCCACTTGCCAGGTTCTTCTCTTGCCTATGCCTGTCTCTTTGACCTTCAGGCCCCAGTTGCCTCCTGGGCATTTCACAGGTACTTCAGCCTCAATGTATATAAATGAGAAGCCATCGCTTTCTCCCTTTCCCCACCCCTAGACTCAAATGCCAAATCCTGGCTCCTCCTCCAGCATTTTGTCTTTTGGTAAGAAGTGTTCCCTAGCCCATTCAGTTGTCAAGTCATAAATTTGAATGTCAGCTTTGACTCCTCTCTCTCAAAGTCTTATTGTGCTGCCTCCTAAACAGCTATTTTCTTGTCCACATCTTTTTATTCCCATCACCTTCAGCCTTTACCTGGATTCCTGCAATGGCTTCCCACAGAATTGAAAGCTCCAAGTGGAAACAGCCCAGAAGCTAGGGAGGATCTCTAAAGTGTACATCCAATCATGACAATCTTTGTTCCAACCCTGAGAGTGGCTGCCCTTGTTTACAGACTAGAGACAGACTCTGTAATGTATCCTAGGCAGAGTGGAGGAGAGGATCTTATGTGCTGGGCATTGACGTTAATAGGGACAAAAGTAAGGCAGGTAGACAGGAATGAAGACTGCAGGAATACCAGGTCCTTGGTATTCAGGGTCAGGTGGTGGTGGACACCTCAGAGGGAGGGAGCCATCGGACACTGGGAAGTACAGCCTGGTTTCGCCAGGTGTTGGGCACCATGGGAATGGGGCCAGGAGTGCTACAAGGGTCGCCAGATGGAAAGGCCTGGAAGATGGTGGGTGATTCATAAAGATGCTAGAGGTCCTCAGAATGACAGCAGGATAGGGTGGAGAAGCGGGTGGTCATCCTGGAGGCAGAGACTTCAACATATGAGGGCGAGTAGGAAGCTGGACAGTTGGTCCTGCCTAGAAGCAGAGGCTTTGGTTATGGAGGCAGGGCCTCTGAGGAAAATGCAGTGGTGGCCCCTGGATCTGAGCTCAGTGGGGACAAAAGTAAGGCAGGTAGACAGGAAGAATGATGCTGGGAAGGATTTTCAAGTGATGTCAGGAGTGAGGTCACTGTGGAATGAGGATGCCAGAGGCCTGTGGGAATCATATGAGGAGCAGGTGGGTAGTAGTGGGCTGAGGGAAGCCCAGAGCCATGCTGAGAGGAACTGGTCACAGGAGGGGCTTCTGTCTTGGAAGGAAGAGGTGTCGACTCAGATTGGCACCTGGTGAGGCTGAGGGCACTAGATGTCTGCTGAGAGCACCTGTCTTGGCTGTGTTGTGACAGCCTGGTCAGAAGGCAGAGGCTGAAGGTGCTGGGGCTGAAGGCCTGGCAGGGCAGCCCATATTCCAGACCAGGGAACCTGCCTGTTGACCAAGGGCTGTATCCAGAACAAGCTAGGCTGGATTGGCGACTACAGGTCTCTGCTCATCCTCTGGTTCTTGTAGATATGCTTATACCTGTGGATGTGCAGGCACAACATGTACCAAATATGTCATTTTTCTGTCTTTAAGTAGAGCCTTGTATCCACAGTGGTTCCCTGGGGATCACCAGCCATCCTGGCTGGGACTGTCCTATAGTCTTTGGGACCTCATGGGGCCCTGGATTATATGCTGTCTGCATGTTGTCCATGGGGAGCTGGAGCTGCTAAAGGTGGGGACTTATACCTCTGTGCTAATTTGTATTCATTGAAGTCTGAAGGAGCACTTGAAAGAGCTGCCATCTTGGTGCCCAGAGCTGATACTCTGGGACAGTCCTGGCTCCCAACTCTTGATTAATTAAAATGACACTCTGCCTTCTACCTCATGGTGATATGCCTGCATTATGAGGAAGTAGTTCCTTGTTGTTTTGCACAGAGAGAAGTTTTGTTAACTCAGCACCAATGCTGCTCTTGTTCATCTGCATTTCAGCCTGAAAATAAGCTTCAGATGCTGGGCTGTGGTGTGAGTCCCAGCCTCTCCTTTCTCCTGCCTCCTCCTCCAGGGGCTGGCTCATTTCCTGCTCATTCAAGGGGCTGTGCAGATAGGGCTCCCTCAGAGCACCTGCCCTCCCTGGAGCCCTTTCCATACACAGAATATCCTGGAGGAGAGTTGAACTGAGCACTGGGAATTGCTTCCCTAAAGCATATGGGAATTCAAAATAAGGCATCTATTGGGGGCCAGACTGTAGACTTCAAAAGTCCAAGACTTCCATCAGGATGGAGATACTAGCCTAAGGGGATCTGGACAACCATACCTGGGACTAGATTTTTATCAGCAACCTTTCTGGACTGCTCTGCCTGGACTGTGCTTTAAGAACTTTGCCAAGACCAGCTGTCAGGGATTCTATATGGGGCTTTCCAGAAACCATGACCTTTTCTCCACTGCCACTCTCAGGGTTGCCTGGGTTGGCCTGGAAGTGGAAGACCTAGCCAGGGCTTTCCTCACCATCCTTCTGCTTATGTCTCAGCTCTGTACTTGGTGCCCCCTCCCCTACCCACCATGCAAACCTGATCTGCAGATGGGAGACTATTGCAGGATTTCTCATGAGAGTTTATTGCTTTAGTCTTACTAGTACCGGGGAAAGAGGTTCTGCCTACCTCTTGGAGGGAGGGAGGCAATTTTTTTTTTAACCTCTAAACTCTTTTACAGTAAATCCAATAAAACTGATTTTCTTCCCCCAAGAAAGGAGTGAGGCATCCAGCATGCATTCACCCTAGTAGGCAGCTGCCAAACAAGTGCACAGGCAGGGCAGCCCAGTGCTCTTTCTGCTTCCTAAATTAACCCAGACTGTCCAGACTTCACTGTCCTGTGTCTTAGCTCTAAGTACTTCCTTTCCTAGTGCCAAGCCACTAGACAGTCTTTGTTCTTAGAGCTGCTAGCTATTGACAGTTGTGTTAGGGGACAAAGGGCTTGGGAGTTTATCTTCAGTTCTGGCATTTTATTGAAGTATGATCCTGGCCAAGACATTTTGCCTCTACATCCTCATTTTGAAATGGAAGAATGATAATGCCTACCTCCCTTGAAATATTGTCTGTGAAATAGCAAGGTAGGTGAGCATGGTTTGAGTAACTATTGCATGCAAGACTCTGGCATGGAGAATGAACAATGAGGAGCCATATACTGTACCCCCTAGGAATAGCAATGTAGTGGAAACAAACAAATGCCCATTTCATGGGTGGAGGGAACTGAGGTCACAAGACAAGGACCATCCTATGAAGGTGTGCCCCAGAAGGAATGGGGAGCCATATTCCTGTCAATACTCTCCATTCTCACTCCTAGGGTGGCTTCTCTAGTTCTTGTCCCGGGGCAAGGAGCGTTCAAGGCTGGCCCTCAGCTGAGAAGTAGGAGCAGGACACCCTGGGATAAGAATGGAGCCAGGTTAGGGTTTAAGTGGAGTGCTTGGTGGTACTGAGGGGATGCCGCCCTTGATCTGAGGCAGCACACACGATTTGCCCATAGGTGACTGAGTGTAGATGCCCAAAATTGGTACATCATTCTTTGACTGATCTAGCACTCGCTCTTGGCACAGTTGATTCACTTCATTCATTCATTCAATCATTCAACCAACCAACACTTACTAAGCATCTACTAAGTGCCAGGTGTGGCACCAAATGCTGGGGCTAGCTGCAAACTGGGCAGAATTTACCTTAAGAGCTGTACTGTGAGTCCACCCAGCCTGGTGCCCTTGCCTACTGCAGTTCCTGCCTTGCAGACACTCATCACTGCCTTGGGGCAGACAGTCTACACTGTGGCCTCCGTGCTCACCCTGCTCTTCATCCTGATGTACATCTTCGCTGTTTTGGGCTTCTGCCTGTTTGGAGTTCCAGATAACGGTGACCAGACAAACTGGGGGAATCTGGCTGTAGCTTTCTTCACCCTCTTCAGTTTAGCCACGGTACCGTGTTTGGGAATGTGGTGAGGGCAGAGGGTTTGAGGAGGAACTGCCTAGGTGGTATGAGCATGTGGACATGCTGGGGCTCCCATGGGGCCTTGACCACATTCAGGTACTTGACTGGGATGGGGAGGCTGGGGGCTGGTCCCACTCAGAGGCCAGGGCTCTAGACAGGAATCCATCTCTGTCTCTAATCTTGCAACTCCTTAGAGCATTCCCTTATGTCTCCCAGGGTCATAAAACTTCTCAAAGAGTTCTCAAATGGTAATACATTTGGATTAAGTTTAATTTACAAATGAAACCCATGTTACCTAGACTTTTGTAGAATACACTACCATAAATCCACCCAGAATTACCATACAAAGCCCAAGTCTAGAAGTCTAGATTCTGTTGGACCCTAGAAAGAGTGGGGTCTTTTCAAAGGTCATCTTGGCAGAGGGGTAATGTCTTTTTGGGGAGTTGGGGAGGCCTTGAGAGAAGAGATCCAAGACATATCAGCCAGCAGTGCCTCTATCTGGTGGTGCCCTGCATTTCTGGGCCACCTTGAGACTGGAGCCAGTAGACTGGGGATGTTCTGAAGGGCTGATGTGGAGGTAGAGCCATTGTCCTCTTAAGTGGGGCTGAGCCAGGAAGCGCCCTTTGGACTGGGACTCTCATAGTGTAGGTAAGTAGGAGGCCACCCCTCTGGGTCTTGGCCCTCAGCATACCCTCCCCTGCCTGAGCAGGTTGATGGCTGGACAGACCTGCAGGAGCAGTTGGACAACCGGAATTTTGTTTTGAGCCGGGCATTCACCATCCTCTTCATCTTGCTTGCCACTTTCATTTTCCTTAACATGTTTGTGGGCGTGATGATCATACACACTGAGGTAAGGCTATGCTTGTAAGGATCAGAGGGCAGGGTAGGTGTGGCAGGTAGAGTTATGGGCCTGGACTCCCTGAGCTTTGTCTCTTTTCTGACATGAAGTGGAGATGGCTAGATAGGCCCTTTCCTCACCTGGCCCAATTCTTCTTCCTGAGCTAATGCATTTGCCTTGCCTTATGATGGTGGTCAACAGTGGGGCTTGGGCAGTCTCTGCAGCTGCAGTTGGCAGCTTGAGTATGGGGCTAGTCCTGTGTATGGGAAGGGTCTTCCTGCTGAGGACCTGAGAGCAGAGTAAGGATAGGGAGGAAGAAAGACTGGGGGTGGGGATGCATTGATAGCCTGTTCCAACCTCCATCACCTGACTTTTTAGGACTCCATTAAGAGGTTTGAACGAGAGCTGATGTTGGAGAGGCATGTGACACTCATGGAAGAGAAGCAGGTGATTCTGAAGCGACAGCAGGAGGAGGTTAGCAGGCTGATGCAGACACAGGTGGGTAATCACCATGGCAGATTGACAGATAGACAGATGACTGTAGGGGCTGAAAGAATGGCCGGGAAAGAAGGGCCCTGGGACCTGTGTAGAGGACAGGTGGTCTTGGGCATCTGTGGCTTTATAGGCAGGGCAGGTACTGTATTTCCAGAGTTAGACTTTACTCTCTACATTTTTGTGTTTCTCTGAACATCTTGGAATGGTGAATGCTGTGATTATGATGTCTTCCTCTGGGGGCAGAAGTCCACTGCTGGGCCCTTTGGGGTAGGGAGTCTGTGCTGAAGCTTCTCATGGAGGGCTCACTGGTGCCTGGCAGCTGTGGCCCAGTCCACTGAGTGGGTGAAGATGCTCTGATCGGTTGTCACACAGCCTCAGTTTTCTTGTCTTTCTAAAACCAGAACAAGAATGAGCACAGCAAATGGAGACTTTCTTTTTCTTTTTTTTTTCTTTTTGAGAAAGAGTCTTACTCTGTTACTTAGAGTGCCATGATGTTAGCCCAGCTCACAGCAACCTTAAACTTGTGCTCAATGGTCCTCTTCCCTCAGCTTCACTGAGGAGCTGAGGCCGATAGGTGCCTGCCACAACACCCTGCTAATTTTTCTCTTTTTAGCAGAGACGGGGTCTCTCTCTTGCTTAGGATGGTCTCGAACTCCTGAGCTCAAGGGATCCTCCCACCTCAGCCTCCCAGAGTGCTAGGATTACAGGTGTGAACCACTGTACCGGCCTCAATGGAGGTTTTCTGTCAAGTGTGATGCATCTGTGAGGGACTAGGGGTGATTCTTTTCTTTCAGCCTGAGTGCCCCGTGCACCCCAGGCTGCGACTCTCCCTCACTGGGTTGCTAAATCCTCCTCAGCCTCTTCTCTGAGGTGGGGCATCTGCCTGTCTTGAGTGTGCCCAAGGTTTGTTCAGAGCTGGGGGAGGACATGAGGGCCATATTCAGACTCTGGTTGATTCCTCTGTATGCCACCTATCTTCATGTCAGTGGTCTCTACCTCATCCAGGGGGCTCTAGGCTCAGAGGGGGTCAGGACAAACTTGTGATAAGGTTCAAGACTCCTCCTGGGCCAGGGTCAGGCCTTTGCCTGGGGCCTATCATGGAGGGTCTCTAGGTCTCTGTGTAGGTTGGCTGTCACCTCCTCCTCCTCATTGCTCTTTCATTATGCTTTCCTCTCTAGAAAGATTATGACCACGCAAGTTTCAGTGAACTGGTGGAGAACTTTAAGAGAACCCTGCAGCACACCGACCCCATGGTCTTGGATGATTTTAGCACTAGCCTACCCTTCATTGATGTCTACTTCTCCACTCTGGACAACCAGGATGCTACTATCTACAAGTCAGTCCGAGCCCCAGCCTTTCCTGGTTCTTGGGGCTTCCTTGAGGTTGGGCTGTGTTGGGTCCCTGGAAGAGTGAAGGGGATGGTGGGCTGATGTGCAGGGTGGGTAGACCCAGGCACCTCAAAGATGCCATGGTCCATGTATGCACAGGGCAGGACTGCTGTGTTGGCAGGCCATGGCTGGGGGAATCTGCTTCCCCTGCCCCTCCCAGCCTGCCTTGGCTTGTATTTAAATGCCAACTCCTTCAACTTTCCAGCCTCTTCCTCACTAAGAGGGCTGGAGAAAGAGGGAAGAAGAAAGAACATTAGTGGCAAATCAGGAGCTCAGACTTCTGATCTGGTTCTGCCACTACCTTCCTGTGTGACCTTGGGCAAGCTTCTGACCTTTTCCCATCTGTCACCTGAGAGGCTGCTGGGCTGATTCAGTAAAAATGGTGTTTGTGAAGCTTTGAATTTGACATAGTTCAGGGCTTGTGCCTAGGGTAAGTTAGCTGGGATTATGATGGGGCATTACTAAGCAGGAAGGATGGAAGAACCTGGCAGAGGGACTGTGAGCAGTAGGGAGCCACAGTGGGCTCTTGAGCAAGGACAGACACGATTAGCTTGGCTTCTCAAAAAAAAAAAAAAAGATGCTGGACAGCTTCAGAGACAGGAGAGACTAAAAAGGAAAGGTTTTGGAATGCCCACTTTTGGCCCAAGAGTAGCCAGCCACTGTCTGCGCATTCCCACACAGCTGCTTCTTTCAGAGCCCAGGGGTTTCCCTCCAGCCTGACACATAAGGTGAATCCCTCACTGCAGGGGGCCTCAGGCAGAGTGGCAGACCTGGGATTCCAGCTTAGCCTCATCTGGCTCTGAACTCCTTGCTCTTCCCAGATCCCACACCTGCCAGGTATGTCAAATGTGCAGGTGAAAGTATGTGGTAGCTGGAGCCTGCCTTGACCTCAGATCTCCTTTCTTTCTGCTCCACTTTTCAGGCTTCAAGAGCTATACTATGAGATTGTGCACGTGCTGGGCCTGATGCTGGAAGACTTGCCCCAGAGGAAGCAAGACGAGAACTGGGAAGACAATGATGATGAATATTAGCTAGGCACGTGGGCCCCCATTAAACACAGGCTTTCTGAGTTGGCCTCTCCAGAGTTGCTGTGATTATGGTGTTTCTCCACCTTTAGGGTGTGGGTCTGGGTTGGTGCTCATGAAGTTTGGTTCCCTATAATGCCCCAAGCCCCCAGTACCCAGTGGACCTAGGGAGTAGGGAGAGGGAGGCTCAAAGACCTGCTCTGGACAGAGGCCACATGCAGGGTCACACTGGATCTAGTCTCCCTGTACCTAACAACAAAGGTCTGGGGGAGCTTCCTGAGGACGTCAGACTATGAAGGGCCCCCAGGAGCTTCATGAAAGTATGTGGGCCTTTTAAGCTGGTATGGCCCTATTGATCTGGCAGCTCTAGTTCAGGGCTGGGGCAAGGCAGGTCTTGCTAACTGCTCACACTGAGTGTGCCAGCACAGGTCAGGGGACATTAAAGTATATCCAACTGCTCTAGCAGGAGTGCTGGGCATTGCCCTGAGCATTTTGGGAGTGAACAAAAAATTTGCCTCATGTGGGTGCCATGGTTTTGGAATCAGAAGACCCAAGTTTCTTTAGGTGACCTTGGACAAGATGCCTGGTCGTTTGAGCCTCAGCTCTTTCCTCTGAGAAATGGGATGATAAAACTGCTGAGCTACAAGGATCAAATAAAATCTGTGTGAATGTGTGAGAAAAGAGGCAGTCAGCTCACGGTTCGTGTTTCCCAGTTGTCAGCTATCTACCTCTGTTGGGGCCCCCTGCAGTGGGCTGTGCTGGTCAGGGACTGAGAGGAACTGGGCCAGAGTCAATGTGGTAGGAGCAAAGTATGGAGCTAACATCAAGATACAGAGGTTAGGAGCCTACAGAGGAGGGTGTGACTGGGTCTTTAGGTGGACCTGGGTCAGAATGGGCAAGGAGCATCTCAGACCTAGACAGGCTAGGGCCCAGGCTCAGCAAGGCAGCCCTGGGCACAGGCCAGAGGGTGTGGTGTGGGAGGGCAGGCCACCTTTAAAGGCACAAGAAGAAGGCTTTCCGAGCAGTGAGCTCGGAGGAGGTGACGTGCACAGGACTGGCTCAGCACTGCTGGCAGAACAAGCTGATGGATACTTGGCCCAGAGTCCCAGAGCAGCATTTCTGTCTGGCTCTATTTGCCTGCAGAGCAAACATTGGCAGATTGGAATTCCCACTTGGGCTCTCACCAACTCAAACAGGCTTGGCTAAGACCTTCAGTTGACTTGTTTGGGGCAGAAGTGGCTCCACTTGCCCATGCCTGGCTATGGAAAACAAGACCCTCCTTAACCCTCCTCAATCCTGGGATCTAGCAGGGCTATCCCTGAACAGCTTATTCATCCCCAGCTTGTCAGCCAGGTGGGATGCAGGGGACCTGGGCCCAAGTCTTCTCTTGGTCATGCCCAGGCCCTCCCCCAGCTCTTATGGGAAGGGCCTCAAATTCGAGGCTGAAGGTGTACATTCTTTTTTTTTTTTTAACTGCCTGTTGATTCCACTAGTAGGAAGCAGTCCCTATACTGTAGAGATCCAGGGACTGATTTGAGAATATACGTTCTCCTGTTTATTCCAGCAGCCCCTAGAAATCTGACACTGAGGTGCAGGAAAACATGCACTTTGATATTGTCTTAAAATGCAGCGAGACAGGACACCTCATAAAGCAAACGGGCCTTCAGCGAGTCAGGTTTTGGTCTCCCATGTCTTCATCTGTTTCACTCCATTGTCCTTCAGGCTCTTGAGAGAAAAGCTGGGTCTGAATTCCCAACTAGGCTACTCAGAAAGGAGGGGCGCTTGTTCTGAGCCTGGTCCCAAGAGTGGATAGCGCAGGAAGGTGGGAAATGTGATGGTACAAGGTTTATCAACACAGGAGCACCCCGATTCTTCCTCAAGCTCTGCTGCAGAGAATTTTATCTGTGTTTGGTCAGCCACGTGCTGCCCCTCCCTGAGCTGTGTCTTTGATTTTATTTTAGGGTTTGTGCAGTGCGGCACTGGGAAAACGATGGCAAACCAGGACTGGAGAGCTGGAAGGAGAGAGGAGTTTTCTTGCTTTCTTGGCCAGCTCCTGTGGTGGAGAATCAGGGTAATGGGCAAAATAGAGAGACCGTTAGAAGACCAGCAAGGCTGGGTTAATCTACACCACAAAGAGCCTGAGCAAGGGAGGGAAGAAGGAAGTAAAAGTTGAGGGGACTTCTGGACAGTGGCCCTGCCAGCTGGCATGTCAGCCCTGGGGAGGTTTGAGGGTTAAGAATGGGATCTCCATTGATGTTCTCTGGGAGAGGCAAATAATGATTGGAATTATCTTAAAATTACTCTTGGTTGCTGTACTGTACCTTTTAAAAATAAAACCCCATGAATAGAGTCCATGGAATCTGGGCTATGTTCAGGTATTACTGAGACCTTTTGGACTCAAACTGGGAAAGAGGGCTTCCCATGGGCTTAGCTCCTAGCTAGGATCAAATGCCTCTACGTGAAGTATACGAAGGGGTAGTTGCACCAGGCATGACAGGCTGCTTTCAAAATGAAACTGAAGTCTCTAAAGTGAAGTGTAGAAAAAGCCAGAGGAGGAAGCAGGGATTGACCACCACCTGTGTGAACTGGTGATGGGACAGTGGTGTTCTCACAGCAGAGGCACCCCACTGTCCCTTGATTCCTTCCCCGGTGCTTAGATCATGGCCTGAGATAAAAAGAGTCTTCAAAACTCTGGGCCAGAGAAGGAGGGATCCAGACAGATCCAGGATTTCTCTTTGACTGTGGATATACTACCTTCTGTTTTGCCAGAATTTCTCTTTATAAGATACTTTCACATGTATAATTTCAATCACAAAACAACACTTAGATATTTTCATTATTCTTATTCAATAGGTGGCAAAATTGAAGTTCAAAGAGGTGATGTAACTTACATAAGGTTGTATAACTAAGGAGAAAGAACTTGAATTCACAAACAAGTGTGTCTGGCCTTTTAACTACTTTGCTATAATGCTGTGCAACAATCTTCTGCAGAATTGTTATCATCATTTTATGGGTGGGCAGGTGGTGCGCAGAGACTCACTTGGCCAAGATCATATTTAAAGGGCAGAGTCAGTGTTTGAACATAGGCCACACATGTAGTCCTCTGAACTATAATAATCTTGTTCTTTCTCATTAAAGCTATTTCTTGAATTTTAAAAACCATGCCATGATTCTCTTCTGAGCAAGGCCTGACTCTTGGAGGAGGGAAGGTGGTTGCTCAGCTGGACTTCTACTGGCCAGTTCCCTGGCATTGTCTCACTGCTTGGTGGAGGCTCTGAAGTCTGCTGGCCCTGGGAGTTTCAGGAGCCCCAAAGATTGAGAAGACAGCAGGAAGCAATCAGTGTGTGCAGAAAGGGTGGTGACTGTGGCGCCTAATCAGGAAATTACAGCCTAGGCAGAGAGGAGAGTTTGGCTTAGTTGCCACCTTTCCCTGGGCTTCAGTACAGCAGGCCCACATGAAGACTTGGCTGCAGATGGGGTGTGCTGAGCAGGGAGAGCAGGGCTCAACAGGCAGCATGTGCCAGCTTGTGCGTGAAGGGCCACACTCATGGCAAGAGGTGGGCCTCTTGGGTGGTGACTCTAGGCAGTTCTTTCTGGCCCTCTGCCTGCTCCTGTATCCACCTATAACTGGTCAGCAGGGGAGGGAGCACTGGGCACCTAGAGAGGGTGCCTTGGGAGACTTTTGATTGGAGTAGGTGTGTTTTTATTTGTTCATTTGTTTTTATCTGACCCTTGAAAGAATAAGCAGAAAAGGAGAGAAAGGATTATTAGATTGGAAAAGCCAGTTGCAGAACTGTAAATATGTGACACTATCTGGATTAAATTTTTTTTTTTTAAAAAAGGATAAATAAAGCATACAAAGTAGCAGTGAGAGGTTTTTACATTATTTTAATGTAATTTTTTTTATTCCCTCCACTTTTTTATTGTTGAGGTTCATTGAGGGTACAGAGAACCAGGTTAAGAAGTTTTTTTTCCTCTTTTGAGCAGCAAAGATGATAGACAGAACCTAGTACTGGTCTGGGAATGGAGAATGGGTGTCCTTGACCACTCTGGGAATACAAACAGGTGTGGCCTTGATGTTATATACGTGTGCCTTGATAAGGCAATGTGGACTGAATGTTATATATGTGTTTCTAGGGCCCAATAGTTCTACTTGAAATTATCCTAAGGAATCAAATGATGAATCGATATTTATTGTGGCTTGTTATAATAGAAACAAAACAGAAGAAGGAACTACCTAAATGCTCGTTGGTGAGAAATTGGTTAAATTATTATGAATCTATACATGTGGCCATTAAAAATAATGATTTGTAGATAAGATGTTCTTGATGTTTTACTGAGTGGAAAAAAGTAGCTTCTAGAGCAACACATAATATCATACCCTTTATGTAACAGTGAGTGCACATACAGAACGCATGTGCACAGATGCCATGCTGAGGGTGCCACGCTGATAATCTTACGGATACTCACATGGTTTGGTGATCTTGACTTTTGGCCTCACATTTTCTGAAATTTTTGAATTTAAGAATGAGTATGTATTATATGAAAAAAGCCACATAATTTTTTTTTTTTTTTTTTTTGCAGTTTTTGGCCGGGGTCAGATTTGAACCTGCCACCTCCAGTATATGAAGCTGGCGCCCTACTCCTTTGAGCCACAGGCGCCGCTCAAAGCCACGTAATTTTCACCTTGAAAAAAAAATGTTAGGCTCGGGGCCTATAGCACAGTGGTTATGGCGCCAGCCACATACACCAAGGCTGGCGGGTTCGAACCCAGCTTGGGCTAGCTAACCAACAATGGCAACTGCAACAAAAAATAGCCAGGTGTTGTGGCAGGCGCCTGTAGTCCCAGCTACTTGGGAGGCTGGGGCAAGAGAATCCCTTTAGCCCAAGAGTTTGAGGGTGCTATAAGCTGTGATACCACAACATTCTACGGAGGGCAACATAGTGAGACTCTGTCTCAAAAAAAGAAGGAAAAAATGTAAAGTAGCGTGTGTGTGTGTGTGTGTGTGTGTGTGCATAAACTGCATGTGTGCACCTGTGGCAGGTGGACTGAGACTGCAAACAGAAGGAACCAAATGCATGAAGGAAAGAAGGCAGGAACTTGTTGAGAGTTTGGGGAGTACTGAGGAGTCAGTGTAGCTGGGACTTGTGGGGCGACTGGAGGTTGATGAAGCAGATTGGAGCCAGATCCTGAGGGCTGAGTGCTCAGCTGGGCAGTTTGGACTTTAACGGATGGGAAGGGACAGCAAGCAGGGCAGTGACCTGGTCGCTTTGATTCCCACTGCCACTTTGTGGGTGGCTGTATTTCCTTCCCCTGGCATTTAAGGCTCCTCTGTTCTGTCTCCTCTTTCTTCGTATGTCTCAGGGCTCCCTTTGCCTGGCAGAGTCTCACCTCTACTCCTGCACACCCATCCCAATCCTGCCTTCAGTGCTCAGTACCAGGCCTCCTCTAACAGGAAGCCTTCTAAGATTGCTCCCATTAGCCTTGATTTCCCCTTTATCACACTCTTATCCTTGACCTTTCATATCTTATCTTGAATCAGACCTTAATTCCTTTGCCTGTGGCTATTTCTTCTCCCAGTCCTAGTTTGGAGGACTGTGGATTGAGAGGTCAGTCTCTAACGTGTGGATGTCAGTGACTAGATGGCTTGAGACATGCCAGCTTTAGAATCCTGATAGAGGGAGGGAGTGGATAGCAAAGAGATCCAGTTATTATATTGAGCATGTTATGTCATTGGTACAATGCCAAACACCATACATAACTTTTCACATTTCTCTCATTTTATAGATGAGGAA